AAAAAAAAAAAAAAAAAAAAAGAAAAGATGTTCAACATCACTAGTAATTATAGAGAAATGCAAATTAAAATAAGAAACCATTTCCCCCATTAAATTCTGACAATATTAAGTGTTGGTAAATGTGCAGGAAAGGGGACACTCTCATTCCCTGCTGGTGAACATAGAAGTTGGTAAAGACTTTTTTTTTTTTTTTACAGTAATCACTTATCTTTCCAGATTGGTAAAGACGTTTTCGAGGTTAATATTACAGTATCCATTTCTTAAAACACACCACTAGTCCGAGCTTGGTGACTCACGCCTGTAATCCCAGCACTTTGGGAGGCCAAGGCGGGCAGATCACCTGAGGTTAGGAGTTCGAGACCAGCCTGGTCAACATGGTGAAACCCCATCTCTACTAAAAATACAAAAATTAGCCAGGTGTGGTGGCAGGTGCCTGTGATCCTAGCTACTCGGGAGGCTGAGGCAGGCAGAAGAATCGCTTGAGCCTGGGAGGAGGAGGTTGCAGTGAGATGAGATCGCACCACAGCACTCCAGCCAGACGGACAAGGGCGAGACTGAGTCAAAAACAAAACGAAACAAAACTCCAGTCTTATTACCCAGAAATTCCACATCCCAAAGAAACACAAGCACAGCCAACATGTTGTTTACAAAGACTATGATTCTGCATCATTTATAAGAGCAAAAGAATGGAAACAGCACCAATGTCTATCTGTGGGTGGACGGATAAATAAACTAACATGGAAGCATCTTCAAAACACATTGGTAATTAGCAGAAAGCAAGCTGCAGACCAAGACATTCAGGACACCAACTGGCTTTAAAATAATGATTATAATAATAATCACTTGCTGGGATACATATATATATTAACATATCACAGGAAAAGTCCTAGAAGAAAACACACCAAAATGATCACAGTGGTTACAAGGAAGAGGAGGCAAGACCCAGGCTAATTTTGCCTTCATTATAGACAATAAGAATAATGCATTCATATATTATTTCTGTCATTAAAAATAAATTAAATGGGGACTGGTGGATGAGGTGCGTATATGGAACCCTAGGTACTATCTGCTCATTTATTTATTTAGTAATTTATTTGGTAAATCTAAAACTGCACTAAAATGTCTATTAATTATAAAAAATAAATTTACTTTAAGATGGAAAATAATTGCTTAAAATCAAAGAGGCATTCTACGTCGTGGATAGTTATTCCAGCAGACTGAGTTGGAATTGCTGTTGAGGAATGGGTAATGATAGTGACAGAGCTAGTGAGTACTTCAGTGTCTGTGGGGAGTAAATTCCTTTGCCTCAGATGGTGCATCCCGCAGCAATCACAGGCTTTTCTTTTGTGCTTGGGAATCCTTGGACTCCAAAATCATGAAAATTGAACATTTGATTTTCACCATCTTTGTCTGAGGGCAGGTTCTGCACTGTTTAATGGAACTGGTTTTGAGAAGATCACAACATATTTGCAATAAACCCTCTGAATAGTAAGTGTGGAACTACAATACGTTAAGAAGTGATACATGGCCGGGTGCGGTGGCTCACGCCTGTAATCCCAGCACTTGGGGAGGCCGAGGCGGGTGGATCATGAGGTCAAGAGATCGAGACCATCCTGGTCAACA